AGAGCCTCTGCGTAAATATATAGGATGACTAAACGGCCAAATATGGTCGTTCACTTGTTCGCTCCATAGAGCCAATGGTGGTGTTCCGGTCGTGAACACTCTCAGGCCCACTACGCTGGTCGTGTGTTGCTAGGCCGTGTTTGGTGGGAGCCGCCGTCTCACCTACTTTCCGGACGTGTCGAACCGATGGTGACCTTGGGGATGCGTCACTCTGTGCACATGTGCTTTTTCTTCTGTCTGGGCGCGCCCTGACAATCTCTTCTCCACTCTAGCACATTGAAGCCCCAGATGTGGATCTTATCACACCGTTTTCACTCCGAGCTTGCGCTCCGGGTGTCGCCGCTGTCTGCCCCGCTTATTTCGCCTATCCCTGTCCGCTGGTGTTGTGCGCATCACCACCCACACGTAGATCGCTTTCTGGTCCGAATAATCACCGACTCACTTCACCCCGTTTTATCCAGACTCCTCGAACCACTGTTCGCCAAAGAGCCTCTGAGTGACCTCAAGGGCAATACCTCCATGAACGACCATCAACATGGAGTGAAGCACAACCGCTCCATCGTCAGCCTGCTGTTACGTGTTCTTTACATTTAGTCATCTGCCCTAGATTCCTTGGATGAAACTGGACTGGTCTGACAGATCGTTTCGACCTTTTCATCAAACTATCCAGGCATGGCATTTGATCTACTGGACTGGAAACTTCCTAATGAATCTATTCTCTCAGGTCCACAGGATTGAGGCTAGAGTTTGCTACGCTGATTTCTGCATCCTACCCGTTGCCCGTAACCACTCTCTGGTTGCATCCATGAGAAGACGATTTTGTCCTCCATCAGTCCAGTTCTTTTCAATTCCATTGATCCGCCTAATGCTAGTTAAGTGATAAGCACATCAGAACCACCAGCGCATGGGATGCACGAATCAATGCGATGGAGGTTTTTCAGATGCAGCAACACTAAGTGCCTGTAAATCGCTAGACAAATGCCTCCCCCTTTGCTGTTTCACCTTGAATCACACTATGTTCATCGGTCCTGGCCTCATTTTATCATTTCGTGATTTTTTATCAGTCACTCCCAGTCGTCTCAGGTCAAACATGTTACGGCCCAGGCCCCCAAAAAGGTTGAATTTATATCCTGACCCCGGAACTTCTTCACCTCCCAGGCGCTCCTGGTATACCGGTCTTAGACCCGCCTCACTAGTAAGCACTGTTGTCATGCCTGGTGGGAAACCCTTTCCAGCAACTGTCCATTCTTAACCGATTCTGGGTTATACGCGTGACTGCTCGTTTCCCATAATTTTTAGATGTCCCACTATGTAGCTGCGCGGCTCTGGATATTTTTAGTGGTTCCCTACTACGGGTTCTTCCTTTCCATGTGATCCACTGTGATTCACAAAAAAAAATTGGAGCACCTTTAGTAGAAATATTACCTTGCTCATCCAAGTAAACAGTGAGCACTATCTGTCAGACCAAAATTTCCGACAGGCGTGGCCAAAAGAGCCAGTGTAAATTGGACGTTAAACCACAATTGAACGGATGGAATCGGCTATTCGTGAGAGTGCAAAGGTCGATTCGCCTCTATTAAAATGCCACACTCGTCTCGACGACGAGGCTAATGTAAAGATGGTCGTCACTTTTGTATGATTTTTCCGCCGGCCGACGTCTGGCCGAATTTGATCTTGCAAATCCTCGTCAAAAACATGCACAGTTGGTCAGGTTATGCTTCAACAAGTACGGTCAGATGAAACAATGCGAATCGATTTATTTTCATCTACTTCGAATAATTGGGAGCGAGATAGCTCAAGTGGTTAGAGCACGAGTTTACTGACCGGAAGGTCTGTGGTTCGAAACCAACCTCTGCCTATCGACTTTCCCTGTCTAGGCTTGAGCCACCTGGCAGTATCCCAGCCCTCTTGCTTCCTTCAGGTAGCGTGGCAGCTAGGCGGCGGAAGGGTGTTACAGCTGAGAGATTTTATTTTACTTCGAATAAGTGGTCAGACAAGGGAATCGGGGCACCTCTAACGTCGACAAACCAAGCAACATTCAGTCGCCTAAAGTGTACGGAATATCAGAACTGAGCCACCTGCAGTATCCCAGCCCTCTTGCTTCCTTCAGGTAGCGTGGCAGCTAGGCGGCGGAAGGGTGTTACAGCTGAGAGATTTTATTTTACTTCGAATAAGTGGTCAGACAAGGGAATCGGGGCACCTCTAACGTCGACAAACCAAGCAACATTCAGTCGCCTAAAGTGTACGGAATATCAGAACGGAACGCCCAAAATAGTGATGCTCAAACGACCAGTGTTTTCACTAGTAACTAAGTTCTCCATCCAAGCGAAAGCCAAGTTACACATGCTTGATGATACGCTCCGAAAATATAGCTATCATTAACCGGTGCACAAGATTTCCAAACTTAGACATAAAGTGACTCAGTTGGGATCCAGCTAAATCTCCAGTTGACGCCAACTTCATTTGCAAAAAGCCAATGTGTTATCATTGATGATCGAAGCGCTATATTGTGATATGCATCAACTGGTTGGTTTTACGGACTGTCGTGTCATCAGGCTGTCCAAAAGTATTTAGTTGGTTCAAACCATGATTGCTATGGGAATACAGGACTGAAAAAGCTATATTTACGTCTGTTAGAGATTGAACATTATCCGGAGCCAGACAACATGAGACCTCAGTGAATGTCTCGTTCATGACATGTCGATTTTCGTGCTCATGAATCCATTGTGATTTATGGAAAGTTGAGGTTTATGTCCACCTGATGATCTTCGAATTGGGTTAAACGGAAAGCGAACGGTAAAGAAGTTTTCACCATCCATCAAAGTATTGAGAGTAACTGTTTTGGCCTGTATCGTATTTGTGACCCTTTTCTTAAAGCTTACTTCGATATCACCATCCTTATGGTATACGAGTGAGTTGTGCGCCTGCTCGAACTAACAAAAAAAGCTGCTGTGGTTTAACTTTGTTTATCCGTATCAAGCCTTTTTCAGATATAAGCACAGTTAGGGGCATTGGTGAGTTCTCCAAGGGTCTGTCGTTGAAACTGCCACATGAAGTAGGGGCATTCAGCTGAACAGGACAAGGAACACCGCACACAGTCCGACAAGGTCAAAAAAACTCTCAAACGGGTACCTTTGTCATGCGGCGAATTTCGTTTACCTGATACTCCCCATCATCAGTTGTGGTTCATGAACTGGCAGATAAAAAACACTCGATGTTTTGACAGTATATTGTGAAGAGGTGCAAGCGAGTGACCGCTACTCATGCTTTGAGCCGATCTTTGTCACAGTATTGTCAGACCGTCACGTAAGTAATTGTCGCTGGATTCGGAGCGAAGTACGCTGCGTGTACCTTTGCATGTCGGTGGGCCTGTGGGTGTGTAGGCCTATGTGTGCGTGCGCGTACGTTCATGTTTGTGCGTAGGGCTTACCGGCAGACTTGACCTTGGAAAGCTGTGACCGTTTGCCTCCCGAGGCCCAAAATATGGTTTTGAAGGCCAGTAAAGTTGCGATATGACCAGCCGACACGCAACTGTCCACTGAATGGGGCACAACAGCCGGATTGACGTGGAGACTCATCGTCGACATTACCAAGTCGGCCAGTCATTACGACAACGGACAGCTTTCCTGATCAAAACGACCATATGGTCTGCGCGGGACACTATGGAACAGTTGCATGCTATTAGCTCCCCAACGCGTAATGGCTAGGATGAGTGGAACCATTCATCCTCGGAAAAGTGGAGTTCGGTAGGTTGCAAAATGGTTGCATATCTGGAAGTGAATACAGAGACCCGCACACATTTGAGATATTAAGCTTGCGGAAGGATCATACTACTGACTTGTATCTAACCCCAACGTATGGCAGACAATCGAAAGTCTTTGCAACCAACAATTCCTGCTTGGTTGCTTAACAATAAGCGAGTCCATTTCTTGACTAACAGGTTTATAAGAAACACCTTAATATCTAATGTTCATTGGGGCATATATTCACAAAACCCTGGATTCTCCAAATTGGGGAGCGTAACTGTAGATCAAATCACATATGAATGCGCAAATATTTTAAGCTTTGCGACCATATATCCACTTTGCGTTTAGTGGCGGACCACTAGGTATGGTTTCTTGGTCGGTGAGTACCGGTTTTAGCACCAGTTATTTTTTCTGCCCTACTTCAGGCTTGAAACGAAAAGCGAGGAGGGTTGGCAACGGGGTGAGTGGAGGGAAATTGAAACCAGTATGACGGGAGGAGCCTTGCTCCAGTAATAAAACAGTATTCAGTTCTAGTCAGTGTCAGGACACTTTTCTTTAGTCCCTTGACTACTCACCAGGTCTACCGTCAGTTTAACCCATTTCGAAAATCGTCGGATGGGCCTACCCGCTGAATTTCCATCGGCCTTATCCTGCAGTTCGACAGCGGATTGGACTAGAGATTCACCTGAGATTCAGTTGAGTCTTAAGTCAATATGTAATAACCTGCGAACCAGTGCTTCTTTTGAAGTAGTGGTTGTTTTGTTGCATATCTGTATACGGTTTCCTGTGTTTAGTGGTTGATCAACTATCCACTTAGCAATGCATCAACCAATAATGGACACCGAGTTTTCAATCCGACTGGGTTGCTTTCGTGACTGCTCTGATGTCTGTCTGTTAGACAAGTGAACCAGGCTTTAGCAAACAAACCGTATGTGCCGTCTGGCCGCTTTCTTCGCCTGGTAAGGGCTAATCGGTTCTCACCAGCTGTGTTTTCTCCACTTTTAATGTGATTGCTCGTTGTCATAGCAAAGAATAAACATTCGTTCGTACGTTCGCCATTGACGCTTGAATGCGGCCGAGACGAAGTCTCTAGCTTGTGCGCGTCTGGGTTTATACGTGCCCGTGGGTGCTTGCGTGTGCAGTCGTGCGTCCGCACTCGGGCCATCTGCAGCGCGAGCAGGAAACCGGATAGACAAGCGGAAAGAAGGAAATAGAGCATTGATTAAACCCAAACATGGCTGCTGTGGTAACACAATGCTAACCTGTCTAACGTTGTTCACGTACATTGTGTTGACCGTATTTGCTTCCGCCCCGCCTACCCACCCGTCCCCACTTCTCGCCTTCGCTGTCTGTCTCGCACCCACCCTTTCGCGCGCTCTGACCGAGGCCACACAGTGTTCGATCGATGAAACGGAAGAGAGGAAGAACAAAAGCGGAAGCAGTCCAATGGGCGTAGGATTGTCAGTCAAGCGGATGCTGAAGAGAAATCGACTTTCCGGTCAGGCCGGAAAACTAATCGCTATCTATCCAAGCTCTTGATGGAAAGGCAGCGAAGCATGGGCTCAGTAGGGATAGGTTAGCAGTAGCACTGGGACTATGAACAGCAAGGGTGGTCAGGAAGTAATAAATCAACCAGTGAATGACAGAATTTGCGAACGTTGCGTGACAAGCTGGAAATAAATACCACCCCTGTACACCGCAGAACATTCAGGGGCATTTCAGTACAAACATCATTCAGCCATATACTTTCCTCAGACTCAGAGAACACCATGCGCAGATGGTACAGTAATCGAACCAAATATTTTTCGAATTCTTTTCCACTAACTCATTCCATCTGGTTTGAACAACTTATAGATATCCGTCGCACCACCTACCATAAAAGCATCTCTTCATGTTACGTCAATGTCATCAAGCACAGTTGACATTGTTGTCCACAGACTTGACTACGCTTCTATCTAGACTACATAAGCTTTCGTTGATTATAGTGGGCAACTTATGCACTCGTCGCAGAAATACAATCTCCTAAACATAAAATGGGGTAGATGTAATACACTACTCGCAAGGTTGCTGAAAACTCTTCAGCTGCGTGGGTACATGATGAACGAGAGACTCAACTGGAACCAGATGACTGTGTATTCCCAAATACAAGTGCCAAATTTGTTTTGAAAGGCAGATCTGGCTGTGCTAGCAAAAAAAACTAGTCGTTGAACAATACGATGGCCCGTGGAGATGGTCCACCTAGTTCTACTGAGAAAACTAACCCAATGGAGATTGAACGTTACGAAAATTGGGACAACTGAAGCAGGTTCCTCGGATTGAAATGCAAAACGTGTTTACCATATTACTGATTTTTTTCCAAGCACCTATTCCGTCTCTTCTGTAGCGCATTAGTCCATCAATGTTGGAGGAAAGCCCATTGGTACAAATATCAACAAGTTGTTTAGACGGACTACCAGTGCCTTCGCCGGCTGCTTGTAGAATCAGACTAAAGCAGGCGAAATTATCGCCCGTATGGATGAGTTCAGTCATCAGTACTGCTACTATTGTCGTGTATTTTTGAAAAGTATGATCACAAACATGAAAAGTAAATCTGGGTGATTGATGTGGATGGGTGTAACAAGGCGCGTTAGCAATACATCCAGTTAGACAATATGATTTCCAATCTATGTAAGAATGTTTGCTATGGAAAAACACGTGTAAAGACCAGTTGTCGAACAAAGAACAAATACTGCTGAATGCTCCTCAAGGCACAAGATGTCCGTCACGTAAAAATGTGTCGTAAGTACGTAGAGGGCCCGAAGTGTTGAACAAACACAAGTCACTAACCGTGAACTTCACCCTCCAACAATAGTCGTGGTGGACTGAGGAAAGTAGACACCTCAATATGAAATGATCATCGGTTAGTGAACCGAAAAGTCGACATCAGAATCGATGGAAAGCGGGGTTGAAATGATGGCGAGGGAACGGTCATCAGCACTATACTTCTGCTTCTTCTCATTCGATAAAATCACTGCGTTGCCATCCAAGACTATGCTTACGTCTATCACAGTTGCCCGGAGCTCCCGGAAAGCCATTAGTTCAATTAGGTGCAGTCAACTCCTCGTAGACAGAGACGTTTCGCGAGTTCCCATGCAGCCCGATTATGAGAGCACATCTGGAATAATGCGTGATCCAGCAGGACTGCAAAACATGCACCAAACTCTGCGGTTGGCCACAGTTTCCACGACAGATGATCGTCTGGCCACCATGACCACACACAGCGTCCTAACAAGCTGCACCGGGGCTCTATATCACGAATAAGAATCCGACCAAACACACGCTCTGGAAACATAAGCCATTGATTCGAGAGGGGTGAAGCGACCAACTCTCGTAAACTGCGAACATCAGCGCTGTTGTGCATGACATCGCCCTAAGCAATCAACCATTCTTCATTGGTGTCCATACATGCAACTTGAAACCGGATCGGAAGGCTGAGATTCCAAATAACTTTACCAAATACAGGATCATTGACCACAATGCGTAGTACTCCACCCATGCGTAGACAAAAGCTTTTCCGTACGCGCTTTCTCCTACATCGGGATAGTAGAACTCAGGGATGGGCTACCGGTGGCCACAGTTCCACGACAGATAATCGTCTGGCCACCATGACCACACAGAGCGTCCTAACAAGCTGCACCGGGGCTCTATATCACGAATAAGAATCCGACCAAACACACGCTCTGGAAACATAAGCCATTGATTCGAGAGGGGTGAAGCGACCAACTCTCGTAAACTGCGAACATCAGCGCTGTTGTGCATGACATCGCCCTAAGCAATCAACCATTCTTCATTGGTGTCCATACATGCAACTTGAAACCGGATCGGAAGGCTGAGATTCCAAATAACTTTACCAAATACAGGATCATTGACCACAATGCGTAGTACTCCACCCATGCGTAGACAAAAGCTTTTCCGTACGCGCTTTCTCCTACATCGGGATAGTAGAACTCAGGGATGGGCTACCGGGTTCCTATGTTATTTAGCGGCATGGATGTAGCTGACTGGGATATTCTTCGGTAGACATAGTCAGCCACAAATAGATCACCTGACGTAATTGTCCAACCTCTTGAGGGTTGGGCAGAACAGCAACAAAAGGGTGTTCCCGCTGAACGATTACTTTACACCCATTTTATCCGGTTTACTAAGCATGAAGTTGATGAACCGACAGCGGTAATTCAAAGAAACGATTTCGTTGTCAATGGTCAAACGGAAGTCAAGCAGATAAACAATTCACTATTCATTTGTGTCAGATTAGAATAGCTCTTAACTGGCGGGAAAAACAACGCATTGATTTGTGAATAAACATGCATCTGTACAAATGAACCGAAGACGGTTATTAATCCGGGGAAATTGATCTCCTGAAATTAGTGTGTAGAAAATCTGTGCACCAAAAGTGTTACTGTAGGATTGTTGTAAAGCTCACGTGTACAACGCACTCCGATGAATGTTATCAACTACTCTACTGACAATCACAAGACATCACTGATCACTGTGTAAAATCCTGTCATCGATTGTCAGTTTGAGCGCGACCAAAGGAGTGCGTATTCTGTTGGGATGCGGTTTTCAATCCGCAAAACGTTCTTGTCAAATTTCCAATCTACCGATGTTTTTGAATTTCCTCAACTCAAGAATCAAGATTCACCGCCTAGGAAAATGAATCGTATTTTTTATCTCCCCACCTGCTGATGATATATCCAAACACGTGTCGGTCCACTGAACCCTGAAGCGAATGGAAGTGTCCAAACAGGCAGTCCAGGGACGAGACATCGCACAGTAAGCTGTGTGAACGTGTAAACACCTTCGCACTGAACTCACTTGTAGCAACTGATCTCTCAAGCTTAGTTCCGATGAGTCGCCAACGTGAGTAGGCAAGCCAAGCACCGGATCGACTGAACGATGCGCTCGACAACATGAGAGGAGCTTGAGTGGATTGTGGTTGTGAAAACATGGGACCTTGGCAAACTGACGACACTCGGGCGTTGGTAAATCAATTGGTCATTACTACGCGGGTCTTCTGGCTTTCGGGGCCTGTTTTCCAGAGCCTACTTGGGAACCGCATGATACAATAATGAAGCTGTATGACGCGGTGCACAAATCGTGCACTTGGTTGAGGCGAAACCCGAACTGCATGCTCGACGTAATATAAAGGAATGAAAAGACAATTACCCATATTTAGTTACTTAAAAACATCAGCCGGGTTCCAGGTGAGCCTCCCGCAAAACCAAATTGGTTTGCAAATGAGTGTATTTCGCTAACTTCGTGCAATTTGGGTTCAAGTAGAACATGAAGTTAACTGAAACTAGGGCATTACGCCTACCTGATTAGCCCCAAGAAAGGTGAAGCCGGTTGTGAGCTATCGAAGAGTTTTCATCAACCTTATGAGTAGTGTATTACGCCTACTCATGTATCGCGATATCTTGAATATCGTACCAACTGAAACATGAGACGGTCTGGTGCAGCACATACAGTTGCTTAAAAACGCCACGAAGAGCGATTCAATTGGGTTCCAGGTGAATCTTCCGGAAAACCAAATTGGTTTGCTAACCTATTATATGCTTTCCAATCCCCAAAAGAGAAAAATGCAGCCCAATTAAATTTGCATACCAACGGTGAATGGCTTATGCTTATTTTATATCGACCAATGTGTATTCTCAGTTAGTTTAAAGCATAATACACGGTTTAAAACAAGTAGGTATCAGCGAACAATCGAGCGTGGGTCCAGAAAAGCTAGGTTCACGCATTTACTGTAGCTAAAGTATATTTATCAGTAGTTGGTCCAATGTGGAGAAAAACCAGAAGTTTTGTTTAATCACAAGTTCTCATGGAATACCGAACTACCGTGTTTTATGAAGGCGGCTGAATTCAGCAGTCGGTTATTACCAAATGATACCCAGAAAATGTTAATTTAGTTGTGGCTGAATTCTTAAGTAATCAATACTTTGAAGTATGAGACAAATCAGTATTGCCCTAATGGTGCTCGGCATAGAGTAGGACCAGTCTACTGAGTGACCAACTGTCAGATTTAAAACGCTCATTTTTCGGCGGATCTATTCGATTACGCAACTCCGGTAAATCGAGTAACTGGCGCGAAGCACTAAGCACAAAACAAACAGCGCTCTGGCAAAAAAGGTTCGTCCTTCATGCTTTGTCTGACGGAAAGATGAGTGGTGGTGACAACTCTTAGCTCAACCGTACTGGACGTCCTTTCGAAGGTTTTATCAAGCGTGTGGACGAACAAACACGCCTCATATGAATTTATGTGAACTTTCCATCTGTTTTATTAAACCTTCGGAACAGAACTTCAATGGCTGAGTTACCTCCGAAAAAATGAACGCAAGCCTTCCGAGTACATTGTACATAGCATACGCGAGAGATTTGGGTTATAGGTATTTCTGTGATAATCTGCTTCGAAATTGATTCCATGCAAACCTATTCATAAGGACTCAGTGGTTAGAGCGCGAATTTACTGACTGGAAGGTTCGACCCTTGCATCTCGACTT